ACACACACACACACACACACACACACACACACACACACACACACACACACACACACACACACACACACACATCCTTCGCGCGTGTGTACACATACATTTGTGATATTTTTTAATTGTATATTAAATGTATTTAAGATAAAGAATAATAATTCTAGGAAATAGCATAAATGTTTATTTATTGTAATTTTTAATTCATTTATATTTTCATTGATAGGATACGTAGCAGCCATTATTCGAAAGAAAGCATCTAATCGGTTTCCATCATCGAATGTCTTTTTGAAAATAAATTCCGCTCCATAATGATTAAAGTGATCTTCCAAGTGATGATTTAAAATAATTATTTTTTTATATAACAACTAAAATAGTAGGTTTATGAAAAAAATACATATAATTTTTTTTGTAGAGTTTTTCAGCGGCTTTATTTTTTGCTTAAAATTTTTTTTCTCAAATCAATATTTTCGGAAATAAAAAACATTAAAATTGTAAAATTCTTTTGTTAACTTTTTAATAAACAACGAGCGATGGCTAAAATCTTTTGAATGTTACTCAGGCGAGTGAGCTTGACAACATATATCAAAATCATTGAAATCGGTCATTCGTAAAGTGCATAATTATCAAAAATTCTAATATTTAGCAATTTATAAAAATTTATTATATTATTCCATTGTTGATTATCTTATTTTCTTCTTGAATATAATCAAAGGCAATTAGTATCAGTTCTCAGAAATCTTAAGGAAAATTTAGTTAAAAATATCAAGAATGTCAAAAAATTATTTATCTTTACATATTTATCTACAACATATGTTTATCTAGGGCAACATACTTTTAGAAAAGATTTGTTTTTCTTTTTTTCGTACATAAAATGTTTAATAAGATATTTCACTGATATAATATTGTTAAAACTAACCGGAAAACAATCTGCTTCCGGAAAATTATCTGCTTCCCTTGTATGGGCAATATACTTTCGACATCATATGCAGACTAAAGTTATAATTAACGTTTATAAACATAATACGTAATCTTTTTTAATTATCCTGTCTTGTTACTAGTCGCAGCGGAAAATATTGTCTCTGACATATAAAAACCTGCGCACTTTTAATTATATATTTATTATAAATATGCAATTTTTAATATTGAGAAAATAATCTAAAGATTATAATCGACAAATCGGAAAATTACACCGGAATTATTATTAATTAAATAAACAACTAATACATACACAATTACATATATATATATATATATATATATATATTGTATTATTTATTTATTTAATAATTAATAATTATATGTACAATATTTAAACAATTATTAATTATTAAATGACACGACTTTTTTTGTTAGATCTCGCACCAAGCAAGAATTAATTTTCACCTAAAATAAAAAAATTATGCGAATCGAATTGCTTATTATATTTTTCAATTTGTTGACGAAAGTGTATAAACAAACAGTTTCATTTTTCAACTTATAAGATAATCGTTCCTGATGTATCAGATGTAGGCTAAAAGAGATTAACTTCTCAAACTGAAGATTTAAATCGCTTGTCCATGAAAACATAATCGAGGCTTAACTCCTGCATAAAATGCACACGCAAATATATATATATATATGCGACCCGAGAGAGTAGAATAAAGAGCGGCCATCGTGTAATTACGTTGACGTACAAGTCTCGCGCGATGGCATTCGCATCTTTAAACGGAGCGACATTGGACGTGCAGGACTGTTAATTAAACCCAAAAGCCTCATCCGTTAATTAAATCCGAACGATTAAGCTTATTCTGGCCTGCCATTTCTCTTCTCTCTTCCCATCGTCGTCTTTATCGATAATTATTATCTACCTAAATGGTCGCCTTTCGAATCTTGAGCGAGGTATCCATAGCCTATCGCTATTTAAATTCAATACATATGCAAAATTTATTATTTTCCAGAAGAAAAGTCAGAGTTTTCAGAAAAAAAGAACTCAAATTTTTGAAATTTTTTTACGAAAAATGGAAGCAAGTTTTAATTTTTTTTGACTTTAAGATTTTGACTTTGTCTTTAATTTAAAGATACGACTGTGAGATATAAAACTTGTGAGATATAAAAGATAAAGAAAAAGATGTCTCAATCTTTTTCAAACTATGTTTTTTATATTTTGTTTTGAGATTTGATTTACGAGAATAGGAAAATACAAGCGTGGAAAATTTAAATGTATTCAAAAAGCGAGGAAACCTTTATTTCTCCTTCCACTTTAGGAAGAGAGTATTTTGTAAAGTTAAACCTGTGTCTCCGCTGGTAGCTCTTTCTTTACTCGTCGGAATGCAATAGAGACAAGACACGGTCAGCAGTCAGTTATAGCGCTTATGGCAAGAATTCGGACAGACTTTCGCTTATGCTCATAATTGAAGTTGTGTAAAATATAATAAAAAATACTTTCGATTACAGTTTCGATGCTTGTTGCAACTTTTGATAGTGTTACAAGAAAATACTGAGATAAAGTTTCTCGCAGCAAACTGTTCAGAAAAAGTCCTTCCGAGTGAATCCAGGATTTCAAGAGTGACTTCGATTCTATTACAACAGCGACTGCATTGTACAACGATGATAAAACAGACAATAAGGTAAGTAATGGCACGCGTTTGCACCCCATTTGCACAACATGAGGCTGACATCTCGCCTTATCGGATTAAGATCCAGATAAATTTCATGTTGTAAGAATCGTATGTTCAAATCTTTTTCGTAATGATTTGTGATCGATTTTGTATTTTCATAAAAGTTTTAGTTAATAATTACAAATAAGTTTGTTTAATTATTTTTGCATTAAAATTAGTAATAAATTAAATTCCGTAATAATAAGAAATTGTCGTGTGTGCTTGATAATGTGATTTTTCTCGCACGTGTACGTGAGATCGATTCATACAGGGTCATCTTAATCGCGTGTGCAAAGTGTACACGCGCGGCAAATTTTGCATGGACGCACAAATAAAATTGAGTAATCCTTCACTCAAAGAGTATGATATTGATGCGATAGAACTTGATATGAAAATCGAAAATGTTTCAGTTTTCTTTGAAAATGAACTTAATACTTTCGATGTATTGCAATTGATGTTAAAAAAATTGATGTGAATTAACCACAACATTTTCAAATTTAACAGTATCTTTAAGAATTTTACTGACCCTATTTGTAACAGTAGCTGTAGTTGAAAAATCGTTTTCTAAGCTCAAACTAGTAAAAAGTTATCTGAGATCTTCAATGTGCCAAGAAAGAGTCAATTCTTTAGCTATTTTAAGTATAGAGAATAAAATATTTGAAAGCTTAAATATAAAAGACATTATTAAATTTGCTATTAAAAAAGTTAGAAAGGTAAATATTGATTTCAATAATTAAATTGATAAATTAAATTATGTTTGTATATTTTTTCGCTTTTTTGTTGTAATAGTCATATATATATATATATATATATATATATATATATATATATATAATACATAGATATGTTATGATTTTTTCATTATTTATTTTATTTACCTATTTAAATAAATGCTTAATTTATTCAGATTTTAAAGAAATAAGTCTTTTCTGCCTTGTTTAATCCAATATAAAATCCAATAAAAGAGGAGTGGCAATTATTTGCTGGCTCACGGGCAGCATTAATGCTAAAGACGGCCCTGCATACAGTGAAAAGAAAAAGTGGAATTTCTTAGTGTATATGTGAGTGTAATATGTATTTTTCCTTTGCATCAATAATAACTGAACTACAATTGAAGATTTTAAAACGATGCTCTTTATGAACAGATTTTAAAACTCCAAATAAATTCTTTTCTTCAATTTATAATTTAAAATATAGTGTAATGCTTATTGTAACGATTTAAGGAAAAAAAAGTAAAACATAAATAAATAAGCGATTTAACATAAATAAATAACGATTTAAGGAAAAAAAAGTAAAACATAAATAAATAAGCATATTTTAAAATTGTAATAACGAAATAATTATAAAAATTAAATTAAAATTAAAATTAAATTTTTTAGTTAATTTACAATCGAGTTTTATTTAATATAAAAATTGAAGTTCGCAGAATTAGTTTTTTATTAATTTCTCAGAATAATAGATAAATGAACAATAGAAAAATCATAATTTATTTGTAATTGAGAAATTCTAAAAATTTATTCGATTAAATGATTATTTAGATATAAATTCTTTAATCTAAATAATTATTTTATAATGTTCTTATTATCTTTTATTTGTAGTAATAATATTATGAAGAATATTATATTATCAAATATTACAATAATTGAATATTTATACGAATAATGATTATTTTTCACATGTTTCAGAAATGCATATACAAATTAAAATAAGACATTCTATATATGTATAATAAAATTAACAATTATAAAACACAAAAATATGTATAACAATACATATAAATAATAATTATATATATATATATATATATATATATAATTATATATATATATATATATATATATATATATATATATAACATAAATGGCAGATATTAAAGTAACAAATAATGTAAATAACGAATATTAAATAATGTGAATAACAAGAATGTGCAAAATTAAATAATATACGAAACGAATAGTACAAATTCGAATAGTACAAATAAGTGATACAATTTTATTCAAATAATAAACTATTAAAATATTTTTGTATAATATCTATCTCTGACTTTCGATAATAATCCGCTTGCATAATTTCTTTAAACCTCATCTTCTAAATTTTCTTAATCTTAAATATTCAATATCTTTTAAATGAATAATTAATATTAATAAATATTAGATTCAGCTGTCCACGTTTATAATTTTTTAAATTTTATTTGTTTTAGAATTATCAGAAGAAATTTAGTTTCTCAATACCTGTGATAATAATAATATGAATATTAATGACTTTAAAACTGTGATCGCTATTTCCAAAGAAAAACGATAACACACGGTATATAAAATATTTTTAACAGTGAAAATTAATATTCAACTTTTTTAATCTCGGTTATTCGGTGGGTGTTTTATATTTTCAACTACGCACCAAGGTAAATAGCTTGATAAATTATTTAATATTCGATATTTTTTGTTCTGTTATTTGTAACATGATTTAATTTAAATACTATTAATAATTTAAATATACACTCGTCAACAAAATTATCGCGTAGGTAATTTCATGTCAAATTTTCGCATAATTTCAAACAAGTATAACTCCGTCAAAATGGTCGTAATTGAAAAATTTTTTTTTCATTTTCAAGCTTAAAGTCTCCATTTTAAAAACCATTTGTTTTTTTTTAGATTTAGAATTTATCCTCTCCCCTCTCGTCATCTTCTTAAAAGTAAGGACGTTTTGTCTGCAAAAAATTGCATAATTTGAGGCATTCCATGAAGTAGAATAAATTTTTTTCGCAAATTTCATGATAATTATCGTAAAATATGGACTTTCATGTGTTCATGAATTAAAAAAAAATAAAGTACGATTTTTTCGCAGAGTTACAACACATTATAATTATCTATACATTTTTGTCCATTTACCGCTAACATTAGCATTACCTGATACCCGTAACTCCGCGAAAAAAAATCGTACAAACTTTATTTTTTTTTAATTCACACATAAAAATTCATATTTTATGATGATTATCATGACATTTGCGAAAAAAATTTATTCCACCTCATGGAACGCCTCAAATTATACAATTTTTTGCAGACGAAACATGTCCTCACTTTTAAAAAAATGACGAGAAGGGGGGAGGATAAGTTCTAAATCTGAAAAAAAAACAAATGGTTTTTAAAATAGAAGCTTTAAGCTTAAGAATGAAAAAAAATTTTTCAACTACGACCATTTTTGACGGAGTTATACTTATTTGAAGTTATGCGAAAATTTGATATGAAATTACCTATGCGATAATTTTGTTGACGAGTGTATATTCGTTAATGTACAAAAAAGTATCCTTTTATAATATTTAATTTATTTCCTCTGATGTTTCTTTTACGATTATAACTGTCTGCTCTTTCATCCACAGATATTTAATAAAATATATCCAAAAGCCACGCAGTCAAACAAATTCGAGGGGTCATTCACGCATCTTAGTTTAATGTCAACAATGAATTTACCGCCATACCAGCTGCATTTCGCGTCGATGAAATTAGAGCATCCATACAAAATCAGCATCTACCAACAAAATCAGCATCTACCAACAAAATCAGAAAAATCAATAACCTTTTGCGATATCAAGTCAGACGACAACTCCAATCATTCAGAATATGCAACACCTCTGAGTTCTCCAATACCAGCCATAAACCATCTTATCGAATCCAGGAGCGAAAACAGGAATGAATACTTTGACCGTAAGTTGAACATAGATATCAATATTGATGATAATATGGCAATATTGTATCCTAAACGCATATACAATTCAGTGTTAAGTAACTGTCACTTTGAAACGATTAATTCCAATCTTGCCAATTATAATGATATAAATAAAGTCTCACAATCTAATACATCATCAACATTGTAAATTAATCAATCTTTAGAAACAGGACTTCCATTTTCTTATGATTCATTTCCAGCGAGAAACTCAGAAACAGCGACAAACTTTTACAATATCAAGTCAGACAACAACTCCAATCATTCAGAGTATGCAACATCTTTGAATTCTCCAGTACCAGCCATAAACCAACTTATTGAATCCAGGAGCGAAAACAGGAATGAATACTTTGACCGTGAGTTGATTACAGATATCAATATTGATGACAATATGGCAATATTGCATCTTAAACGCATATACAATTCAGTGTTAAGTAACTGTCACTTTGAAACGATTAATTCCAATCTTGCCAATTATAATGATATAAATAAAGTCTCACAATCTAATACATCATCAACATTGCAACCAAATTTCAGAAACAGGACTTCCATTTTCTTATGATTCATTTCCAGCGAGAAACTCAGAAACAGCGACAAACTTTTACAATATCAAGTCAGACAACAGCTCCAATCATTCAGAGTATGCAACACTTCTGAGTTCTCCAGTACCAGCCATAAACCAACTTATCGAATCCAGGAGCGAAAACAGGAATGAATACTTTGACCGTGAGTTGAATACAGATATCAATATTGATGACAATATGGCAATATTGCATCCTAAACGCATATACAATTCAGTGTTAAGTAATTGTCACTTTGAAACGACTAATTCCAATCTTGCTAATTATATAAATAAAGTCTCACAATCTAATACATCATCAACATTGCAAAGTAACCAAACTTCTGACACAGGATTTTCAATGTTAAGTAATTATCACTTTGAATTTGAAACGATTAATTCCAATCTTGCTAATTATAAATGTATAAATAAAGTCTCACAATTTAATACATCATCAACATTACAATGTAACCAAACTTCTGAAACAGGATTTCCATTTCCTTATGATTCATCTTTGTCAAGAAACGAAAGGGCGACAAACATTTACACTATCAAGTTAGACAACAGCTTCAATCATTCAGAGTATGCAACACCTCTGAGTTCTCCAGTACCAGCCATAAACCAACCTATCGAATCCAGGAGCGAAAACAGGAATGAATACTTTGACCGTGAGTTGAATACAGATATCAATATTGATGACGATATGGCAATATTGCATTCTAAACGCATATACAATTCAACGTTAAGTAATTGTCACTTTGAAACGACTAATTCTAATCCTGCCAATTATAATTATATAAATAAAGTCTCACAATCTAATACGTCAGCGAAATGGCAAAGCAATCAAACTTTTGATACAGAACTTTCATTTTCTTATGATTCATCTCTGTCGAGAAACTCAGAAAAAGCGACAAACTTTTACGATATCAAGTTAGACAACAGCTCCAATCATTCAGAGTATATAAGACATTTTAATTCTCCAGTTGTAGAGCAATCTATCAAATCTGAAAGAGAAAACGAGCATGAATGCTTTGATCATAGATTGGACACAGATAATTATAATAATTGGATACGTAAAGTTAAGAATCAAACAAATCAAGATAGTGAAATATTGATACAGGCGATACCGAGTAGAATGTCTATTTCAAAGGTAACACAAGATGATCATATTGCATCTAATCTAGACTCTAATTATTCGAATTTGCCGAGTTTATCAAAGAAAACGATAAACTCTTACGAGGCTGTGTCAGAAGGCGATTTCGCTCCTGAACTTACAGGACCTATGGAGGTTCCACTACCTGTTCAAACTATTAGTCCACACAAGCCTGTTGGATCCAAGATAGGAGACAATATTTATCACTTCCTTGGCGAGACATCGAAAATGGATATCGATTCCACGTTACCTTTTTTAGACAATTACACCAATACCAAACACCAATACACGTGTTTACTGTGTCAAAAGGGATTCAATAAGACATCGCATTTGAAGGTGCATTGGAGGAAACATTCCGGCGAACGACCGTACCATTGCACATGGCAAAATTGTAACAAGACTTTCACGCGAAGCGATGAATTGAAGCGTCACGAACGCACGCATACCGGCGAAAGAAATCATTCTTGCTCTCAATGTGAAAAGAAGTTTACAAGAAGCGATCATCTCAAGAAGCACATTAAGACGCATAGACAGCAAGAGATAGAAGAGTTGGAAGTAGATATGAATGAAATATGTGAAATAATTAAAAATCCTTTTACGCACTTCTAGTTCGTTTTTTGTTGAATTTTTTAATAAAAATATTATGAATGATTTTTTGTTGTATTATTATTTCTTTAGAACGAATAATATACAGGGTGTTCCAGACGACCCGTACACCTCTTTTAAAATGAAAATAAATGATTTTTATCAAAAATCGCGAGCAATTTTTAAGTAAATCGGGTACGCTCTATCAAATGGTGATATTTTCAACTTTTGATTCCGACCGGAAATACGCCATCCGGATCGGAAGTTGAATTTTTTAGTTGTACGTGAAAAAATAAGAAACTTACTTGTTTAATTGTACATGAAAAAATAAGAAACTTTTGTATCAAACGTTTTTTCTAGTGCCTCTGTCAATCTTAAAATTGAAGATAACTGTGATGAACTTTCAAGGTCAATTTTAAGAATGACAGAGGCACTTTTAGAAAAAACGTTTGATACAAAAGTTTCTTATTTTTTCATGTACAATTCGAATCTGTAATAAAAAATACCATGTTCCCCTAGAAAAATTCAACTTCCGATCCGGATGGCGTATTTCCGGTCGGAATCAAAAGTTGAAAATATCACCATTGGATAGAGCGTATCAACTTTACTTAAAAATTGTTCGTGATTTTTGATAAAAGCCATTTATTTTTATTTTAAAAGGGATGTACGGGTGGTCTGGGACACCCTATATATATGTATAGAATATTTTCTGGATAAAATAATTTTGCTAGTTAATAATTAATTTTTCTAGTCAATATTAATTTTTTACTAATCAATATATTTTATCTCTCAATGTAGTTTACTCTTTTCGTATTTATTGTTATTTTCGTTTCTTATAAAGTAAATTAATACAAGTAGAAATTAAGTACCATTAAAAATCGAAAATAAATACAGAAAAAATTATGCATAAATAAGTGTATTAAATAAAAAATTAAATTAAAAGAAATTACTTCTTTACAGCGTTTATGATATTTTAAATATATATAAATGCGCACTACAGAGTTTATTCAATTCTATTTCAAGATTTATAAGATGTATCACATAGCAGTATGTAAGAAAAAAAATTCACAGATATTATTGACACCGTTGTCAAATATTACATTAGAGCAATACTGATTCTTTAAAATAGCATATTCCAAATTAAATTATTAAGAAGAACTAAAGGACTCAACTACTTCAAAAGTTAATAAATCTAAAGATTTTGATATTCATGAGTTTGACGTGCAAAGTATTTTTAGCCTTTTAAAATATAAAATTAATTTTGTGTGTGTATATATGAGTTAAAATAAAAGATTTTTGTCCTGTAGAATGTAATTTAATCTCAAAATAAATATATTATCTTATATCAAATAAACAATTTTATAAAAACTATAACAAATAAGTGTTAACGGTCCGTGTGATAATAAAATATTAAAGTATTAAAATTAACAACATGATAATTAAGAAACGAGCAATAAGAGCCCAAAACGCGGATGGTAATGCGTCAATTTTCCTAAACATTAATTGTTCGCGAAAAAATTTTTTAAGATGTGCACAAGGCATTTATACATATATTTTACTTGGTGTATATGCCAAGTTATAGATTCTCGTGATTTGAGACTTCTATAAAACCTTCTTTACCCCCCTGAAGAGATGTAGACAGGAAAAATATCGGGGCGAATTAAAATTTTTCCTGTCTACATCTCTTCAGGGGGGTAAAGAGGGTTTTATAGAAGTCTCAAACCACGAGAATCTATAACTTGGCATATACACCAAGTAAAATATATGTATAAATGCCTTGTGCACATCTTAAAAAATTTTTTCGCGAACAATTAATGTTTAGGAAAATTGACGCATTACCATCCGCGTTTTGGGTTCTTATTGCTCGTTTCTTAATTATCATGTTGTTAAATACATAGAGCCGTATTCTTTATTAATTTATTAAAATTAAGTTTAAAATATTTAAAGTATTTTATAGTGACTACGATTTGAACTAACAAATTCATAAAAATAAAAATTTTAATTTTATAGAGAAAGTTTTCACTTTATTCAAACATTAATTATTAATTTATATATTTCAAGAAGCTAAAAATGCTTTTGCATAAATTCATGGATCTCGAAATGTATTTATTAATATTGATTTTAATAATAAGGAAGGCTTAAGATCAGGAAAAGCGCAGGTGATATTGCGTCATATATAAATCTATAATTAAAAAAAAAGCAAATTCTAAAAATACAAATGTTTCGGTTCCTTTCAAATCCGCTCCAGTGTGACAATAATAAATTTTTTAGAACATATAAAAGAAATATAAAAATAAATAGATAAAAAATATGAAGTACTGTACAAGTCGAATGATAAAATTGTAAAAATAAACAACGATATCGCGGTCAAGTTGGGGAAGGACATTGGTTTGCCTTTTCTACTATTAATGTCACACTGAAGAGGGTCCGAAAGGGATCGAAACGTTTGTATTTTTAGAATTTGTTTTTTTTTAAATTATAGATTTATATATGACGCAATACCATCGGCGCTTTTCCTGGTCTTAAATAAGTCCTCCTTATTATTATTGATTTATCATTTGGACCATTCACGTATATTGTGTTAATTTAATTAAAATTTTTTTGATCCTTTGTTAATATTAATTTTGACATAGATGATTCCATTTTTTCCTTAAATAAGAACCAACTTTTTCACTGACCAACATCATTCAGTCAATATTGATTTAATACCCACTATGTGAATGATATATAAAAGAGAGTAATAAGATCATCTTTGTCAAGTAAAGTCTCGAATAAATTCTTAAAATAATTCTATATAAAATCGCAAATGGAACGCTTAGTGAAATTTGGAAATATATGAAGATAGTATATCTGTAAATATGTCTATTGACATTGAAAATATTTTTTTATTAAATATCTAAATCTTATACGCATTGCAACGATGCGAGTATTAAAACGGTATGTATAATGATATCTGTGATAATCAGAAATCTCTTGAAAATTATATTTAAAATTTTATAAAGAATTTGATTTTTCTTATAAACTGCAATTAAAAAAATATATAAATTATCAAAGGTTAATAATTATTGTCGATTTATATTCTTTTTTGATTATGCAATTATTAATCTGTTTACACAATTTTATCCAATTATAAAATTTTCAAGATAGAAAAATCCAATATATTTATAAATAGTAATATAAATCCAATATTTATAATTAAACAACACGACAAGAAACTAGCGATTAAGAGCCACAGCGGATGGTAATGCCTAAAGATTCTTTAATTGTACGCGAAAATTTAAACGAGAACGAGGCATATGCATATATTTTACTTGGTGCATTTACCAAGATATAGATTCTCATTTTTGAGAATTCTATAAACCCTCTTTACCCCCCTGAAGAGATGTAGACGAGAAAAATATCGGGGCGAAGTCACTGAATCGGGAATCGAACCCGAGTCTTTCGCTTGTCGAGCGACTTTATATTTATAATTAAATTTAACTAAATTTTCAATATTTCAGATAATTTTAAAATATTATAGATTTCAGATAATTTTCAAATCCATAACATCTGATTTCTTTTTTAAATTCTAAACATTGATTGATGACAATAATAAATTGTCATCAATCAATGTTTAGAATTTAAAAAAAAATCAGATGTTATGGATTTGAAAACTATATATAATTTATCAGATTATCACTTTAATACATGTTTGATAAAATATATTTTCTACTCTGTTTCAGATATATTCAAGAATGAAAGGTATTGAAAACATGGAGAAGTGGATTGGTTATGAATTCGCAATTTGTTGAGATACCAGAAGAAGAAAGAAGCGATCAGATACTTATCAGATTTATTATTGAGAATTATATAATAAAAAAAAATATTTATTTCATAAGAGTTCCCTCTTAAACGTGTAGTTTACTTAGTCCTTCGATCATTCTGACATCTTTTCATTTTACACGCCCTAAATTTGAAAAGAGACTATTTTCAATGATCTCGTAGGCTTGATATTACGGAGCGAGAAAGAGGGGTCGTACCGTAAAAAATTCATATAATAACGAATCGCTCTCGCATCGTATATCGGATTCCCTCTTGACATCTTCCTGTCATTCGACACGCCGCCGGCCCTTCGTCCCGCCCAAGCAAAGGGATCAACCGAAAAGGTAAGCGCCCTAGAAACATCTTTTCGTCTGGCAGGTGTTTCGATTGCGATCGCAGATAGAAAAGCGTTTCGCGTGGCGAGGTATTAAAATCTCTAGCGACTTCCCGTCTTCCAAAATGAAACGAAGATACACAAGAAGATATTAGCATTATCCTCTTATATATTTTCCCTCCATAATAAATTCTTTCCGAAATACACTGAAACTTTGAAGCTTTGGTTGTAACCAGACTGAGACTGCCGCATCAAATTAATGATCGTAAAAGTTACACGAAACTTGAACGAATATGTCTTTTCTACGTCGTCGAAGTGATTTAGTGCGTGGAAAGGATGCAATATCCTCTTTCGAGGATATTATTGAGTAGATATTATATTGAAGGATTCTATTTATTTCTTCCTCAATCCTTTCATCCGATTTCAGGTGTAATCTCTCTTTCATATACATGTGTTGCCAGTGTTTGCTGGTATCTAGATAAAATTATCTAGATAATTATCTAGATAAAGAAGTGGATCATCTTTATCTTTAACTAGTTGAGGAAATACAAAGTATCTTTATCTTAGGTAAAAAATATATGTCATCTTATCTAAAAATTGTCTAAGATGACGTTTTCATTATGTAAAAGAGTTTTCCAAGCAAGCTTCTAAAAATCTATCTAAAATATCTAAAATATATTTTTTATTTGGAAAATAATATAACAAATATACTTTATCTTGTATTTGTTTTACTTAAATTTGTGCATTAATGTACGAGGTGTGTTCAAAAAAAAGGTGACTTTTTATTTTTCACGAAAAATATTTATTTATTCATCAATATCTATTTTGTCCCCTTCAAAGTAATCCCCCTCAGATATTATACACTTGTGCCAGCGCTTTTTCCAATCCTCGAAGCACTTTTGATATGCGCTTTTTGGTATGGTCTCGAGCTCTTCCAGCGATGCGGTCTTTATCTCCTCAATCGTGGCAAATCTCCGTCCTTTCATGGGTCTTTTCAGTTTTGGGAACAAGAAAAAGTCGCAGGGGGCCAAGTCCGGTGAATACGGTGGCTGAGGCATGGTTACGGTGTTGATTTTAGCCAAAAAATCACGAACAAGCAACGACGTGTTTTTGGTCGAAATTCAGCAATTTCGGAACAAACTTCGCCGCCACACGTTGCATGCCCAAAACACCCGAAAAAATTGCATGGCATGAGCCAACCGATATGCCGACATCCTCAGCAACTTCTCTAATAGTGATTCGACGATTTTCCATAACAATTTTCTTTATTGCTTCGACGTTGTCATCGATTGTTGACGTGCTGGGGCGTCCAGGGCGGCCATCGTCATTAACATCTTCTCGACCTTCTGTGAAGAGCTTGTACCACTTGTAAATATTTTTTTTGCTCAGAGTAGACTCGCCAAATGCCGCAGTCAACATTTCAAGTTCGTCAGAACACTTAATTTTATTTTTCACACAAAATTTAATACAGGAGATAAAGACCGCATCGCTGGAAGAGCTCGAGACCATACCAAAAAGAGCATATCAAAAGTGCTTCGAGGATTGGAAAAAGCGCTTGCATAAGTGTATAATATCTGAGGGGGATTACTTTGAAGGGGACAAAATAGATATTGATGAATAAATAAATATTTTTCGAGAAAAATAAAAAGTCACCTTATTTTTTGAACACACCTCGTATATTTTATAAAAATGATATATGTATTGTTACACATTGATTATTATATTATAAATATATTATAAATATATTATAAATATAAATTAATAAATAAATATTTATCATATCATTTGTATACTTTTTTGTTATTATTTAAATATTCTTTAGGAAAAGAGAAAGAATATGTGTTTATGATTTTAATATCCCATTTATAATCTACGTCACATTTTTTACAAATATTTATAGTCTTATAAAATAAACAAAAATACCTGGATAATTATCTAGATTATCGCAATAATCATCTCATCTTTCATCTAGATTAAGTAAAAGCAAAATCATCTTTATCTCATCTAGGATAAATTTACGGATTTTTATCTTTATCTTTATCTAGATAATTTTGAAATTATCTACAGCAAACACTGTGTGTTGCACACTTAGATTATCACAGCTATCTTAGAAAGATTTTCTTTGGCAGGATATTTTCGTGGTTTGCTATTGCCTTCCGAGAGAGGAGCAAGCGTATACAATTTTTCTGCCGGGAATCGAACCCGAAACTTTCGGCTTTGTAGACTAGTGCGCTATCTACTGTGCCACGGTTCGCTCACATTATTTCAGAGATAGTTCTTAATTTTTAATAAATTTTTTTTATAAATTTTAACAAAATTAAAAAAAAAAATTTGCATCAATGAAAAAATAATTTAAAATTCTCCCTCCCAACTTGAGGAAAATCGTAAGCAAGAGTAACGTTCCTTTACGAGTTTTGTTTGCCCAGGGTGACAATGAGATCGTGTGACAGCCTTGCACATTCTTCTTCGACCTGCTGTCGGTAGATGGAAGCACGATGAATGGAAGAGATCGACGTAGCGCTATTAAGGGGGCGGCGCGCCGTGCAGTCCCCTTGGCCCCTCGACCTGATCGAGGATTCATGGCTGGCACCAGGAGGAAGAGGTGCGCACAGGCGGAGGTAGAAGGCAGTGACGGTGGTGGTCGCGGTAGCGGAGGCAGAGACAGAGAGAACAAGAGAGACACATCGCCGAGGACGAACGAGGTGGACGGGGAGAGGAGGGGGCGCGGGGGCGAAGGGTGGCAGCGGCGGGGAGTCGCGGGGTAGAGAGGAGATACGAAAATGGAGTAAGGGAGAAAAAAAAAAAGAGCCGGCTGCCGGGCAAATTATAGGGAAAACCGGGGGTGGGACGGAGAGGGGGAGGCAGCCCCGTAGTGGAGCTCGAAGGAGAACGACGACGAGGTGGAGAAGAAGAGAGAATGGAGGGGCCGGAAAGGGAGGAGGGGTGGCGCCACGGCAATTCCGGACTCGCGTTCAACGTTCCCTGCGGAGTTAGCGAGGATACCCGCGCGAGAAACCAGCGCGCGAGCGGATTCAAAGAGGGCCCTGTCGCGCGAGTGGCGAGACTCTTCTTCTCCCCTCGGTCGTCTTCCGCGCCGCGGACGTAATTGACGAAAGTGACGAGGAACGGAGACGAGGAGAGAGGAATAGGGAGCGAGAGGGAGAGAGGGAGAGAGAGAGAGAGGGATAGGGGGAGAGACGCGGAGAGCGAGAAAGACAGAAGGAGGGGGTAGACACACAAGTACAGTACACGCACCTCTCTCTTACGTGTTACGTGCGGTCAGTGCGAGAGGCTGCGACGTGCCGCGAGCATGCGTCTGCGACGAACGGCCCTTAAGGCTGCGAACGAGCAGCACGCCGACTCGCCTTCGTCGCGGTTGTCGCCATCATCATCATCAACATCATCCTCGTCGCCGTCGCCGCCTTAATCGCTCGCGCATCGCCTTAATCCGCGAATGCTCCCCTTAACTAGGGAACGCCAGGTAGCATTTCAGCCACGGAAAAACAGTCCTTTCGTGATTGATGCGTTGAAAAAGAAAGGATACCCTTGTCGCCTGTCGCGGTATAGTGTCCGTGAAAATTGACGTTGGCGCTTGTCACCTTCGGCATCAGCGCATCCCAGTGGACATGAAGCCCTCTGAGAAAGGGTGTCGCGTGTCGACCCCGACAAGCGGGTCGCGGGTACTACTTGTGCTACTAGTATCTCACGAGTGTCATTCACCCAGTGCGCTTGTCTCGATGAACACAGCCGAATATTGCTCGAGAAGAGGCTGCCCCGCGACGTAACGTAGCTGCGTTTCTCTCATAATCGAAAGATCGCTTACACTCTTGAGAGGAGATCCGTCTCGGAGCGAGTCCAAACTCCGATCGTCGAGATCACTCGAGAGATGGAGTCGTGATCGAAACGGTACGTCCGTTCGGCACCAAAGAGATCCACTCGGGGACCTAGTCCTCCAAGTCTTTGGCGTGTGAATTGGCGCGTTTTCAGGATCGCTCGAGCGATTCCTGACGCGGGACCGGCTCCGGCGAGTCCGGGATTACTCGTCCGCATCGCAGCGTTTTAGGCGAATCGCCAAACTGGACGCGGAGGTCAGCGGTGGCGGCGGTGGCCGCAGGGGTGTCAGCCCGACACCCCTCAACAGTATAAACGTGAGTGTCTCAGTCTCGTTCTGATCGTATCACAACACCGGGAATCTCTTCCCAATCTCTCTTCATCGGTTCTCTAACTCCTTTGCTCCAATTTCATTTACAGAATAATAATATTCTGCTTTTATATATTTTTGTAATTACATTTCCGTAAGATGTCCTTTAAGTTGGGTTCCGTCTTTCGTATTAATTTGGGTTCCATGTTTCGTATTTTATACGCGTTTTTTGACGACGTTTTAAAATAACAATTCGCTTTTACGAGAATTTCGTCATTTACATGCATAACGTAATCTTAAGTTAATGACAAGTCCACGGGATATCGCGTTTCCTCGTGATTTTACGAGAATCTCGCCATCGCCTTTATAACCGTTTTAATATCCAGGAGAAATTCCGCGTTTAATTTTATCGCGACGCAATATTATGAGAATTTAAGAAGCGTCTTTAATGGGACTTGATCTCTTTGATATATTTTTCGCCTAACTGAATGAAATAATTTGGCGAAAACACTTTTATTCCGATGATGAGCTTCATGAGGCTTGAAATAAAATCTTCGCCGCCGCCTTTCATTGTTTCCTCACTTTGTGGGAATCCCCAGCAATGATCTCAATCCCGTTACGACTTCCTAAGATTGTTTTCCAACCTGATTTCTTCTCTCAAGTGAGAATTCGTCATTCATGAGGTGGAATATCCCCGAATCGCAAATTGACAGTCGCCATCCCCGTTTCCGTTCAATTTAGCAATTCCCATAAATGATTTTCGAAGGTGTGATAGATAGGTCGATGCACTCCCACCGCACGAGCATAATTGGTGGCCCTCTTGCATAAAAAAAGCGTAAAAGATGCCCGACGAACGTGTCGTGAGAAATTAATGCCGGGTCGCATCTCCGGTCTTTCCTCTCCCTTCTTTGCGGAAATACACCTCTAGTTAAACGCCACGACGAGGAGCTCGTCGTGCGAAAGCGTCGTGTGCATCAGCCATTCCCGACCATCCGCGCCACTCGATCGATCCTTAGCCATGGAAGTGACCCGCACACGACAGTGGGAAGCAGTGGGAATAGAACATTCGTCGCGAGAATATCGACTACCTCGTTTACCTGCCATTATCTACAATAAGAGGGGAAAGAAAAAAGAACTTTGGAGTCTTATTTTAGATAACGTATCGTCAAAGCGCTCTATCATTTATGGCTGTCGTAGGAACGAAGCTTGTTTGAGAGAGCGCGATATTCACAGTATCCTCAGTCATCTTTGATGTCTTTGTTTCCTGCGATCACGAATTGTCACGCATAAAATTTTCAACCTGTCCGATCCCCCGGGAAGCTCGACAAGGTTCGCTAGTTGCCAATGTAATAAACGTTACTATATCGCTACGCCCCGTTCACGCCCGCCTGCCATACGTCGGTCGAAGAACAATTTATATGAATAATTACGCGTCGACGTATAGGCCATTTCTAGATGGATTTCAGTCTGTCAAGTGCATGAAAAAATTTGGCTGTGTTTAATTGCATAAGAAAGAAAGATATAGAGAGTAAATGACTAAGACTAGTTATTGAAGGATGTTTTGTATGTACAATCCCAGCAAAAAGGAGCTGAAAATCAATATTGACGAATATCCACTTTTGGTGTATTTTCAGTAAGAAATTGTGTGGAATTGTATTACAATTTGATCTTAGCTACAGTGCAGAGATGTATTTTTTAATATTTATTGCGTTTTTACTGAAATATTCCGAATTTTGTTAATCGAAATGATTAACTTTTGGCAGAGAATTTCCCCTTGTGACGGATACATGGCTAACTTTATTGAATTATATTTAATATCTTTTTAACCAGTTAGTACTTGTATAATATTATTTGACCAAATATTTCCTCTGTATCTAAACTTTTGCAAATTTTAAACAAATTTTGAATATAATTTCCATGTCTGTTTGAATCGACGTGGTTATACGTTTCCCATAAGAACACAAGTTAATTCGGTGCAAATTAAAATCCTTATAACTTGCGAACGCTTTAGTGAATCAATTTAAAAATTGTACTGAAGATTCTAAACATATGTAAGGACATTCTGTACAATTTCTCAATATTTTGAAAATAGGTACAAAACATCCTTAATCGCAGTAATTAAAAAATTAAAATCAATATACTAATAAATCTTTTATAATTCAGATGAATGTGAATTTTTTAAAACAAAAACTTTGGAGATATAAATGTTACTAAAGTTTATATTAATTTTTAATTTGATTTAATTTATTAATTTAATTTGATTTCATTTGATAGAAATATAATAGTAACGGAATTAAATTAATTTATTTCGGTGTAAATTAAAATCCTTATAACTTGTGAACGCTTTAGTGAATCGATTTAAAAATTGTACTGAAGATTCTAAACATATGTAAGGACATTCTGTACAATTTTCATTAAATTCTCAATATTTCGAAAATAGGTACAAAACATCCTTAAAGGAAATCTCTTTTTAAAATAATCACTCTAACTCGGTTCTACGGAATGTATGAGGATTCTCGCGTTTTGCCATGTTTTAAACTTGACCAAAGTTATTTAAAGTAAGCGTGTACAGAGACGAATTACATTGTTATGCGGTAAATTCCGGCAAACCGCACAGCGATAATTGTAATAACGATGTACTTGGAAGGCGATTACCACCTGTTCACTGGTGGTAATTAGCGGCACGATACCCAGTGTCGAAGAAATTACATAAGCAATACCGCAAAAGTTACGTATATGTTATTATTGCTGCTCTACATAGGGCAATTATACTGACAATCGCTTTTGCACGAGATCATACGTAAGAACGGAAGAATGCGAGAGAAGAGTATTTCCACCCCCCCCCCCCCCGCGAAGGGGTCTGTCGAAGGACGCTCTGAAAATTATATAAATATAATATTGCCGTTAGTGCAACACTTTGGAAACAATCGAGATAAGGACGCTGATCGAAAGGAGACGAAGCCACACTGACATCCGTTCACACACCTTCAGGTTTAATTAATTTATGGCTAGCGAAAGAGGCGCCATCGGGCTATTATGGTCTGGAGGGAGCAAACGAAATAACATTGGCTAATGCGAGATGCAAAAAAAAAAATTTGTATTCTAACACAAACAATAGCGATATTAATGACATTAAGTTAGATAGAGAGCAAAACTTCAGTCACAGCCGGATAATTAACTTGTCCCTCTGAAAATCCACGCGTGCCCCTTCGCCTTCCCTCCCCCCTCGATCGTGCACACTCCCCTCATTAGCGGTTTCCTTCATCGTGAACTTTGCACCTGCAAATTGCCACTGTCCATTCTATCATTTGCGAGCGCAGAAAGAGAGAGGGAGCAAAAAGGATTGCGAGGGGAGGGATAGGGAGAAGCTAGAAATCAGGATAAGATAGTCTCGGATCCCGTTGCAGCTGTTGCAGATTACGGCGATACCATCGTCGGCTGAGGCTCTCGAACGGACGAGACGCGATTCAACAACATTAACGACGAACTGGAATTGAAGAACGCGAGGAGAAGCAAGAGAGAAGCGATTAGGGTTTCCTATAAAGCAGAAGAGAAGGAAGAGGAATCCATTGAAATGGAGGAAAAATGACGGGAGAAGAAAATTCGCGAGCAGCGGAGGCAACGAGATGCAAAAAGTAGCGAATATCATTGAAAACGCAGTCACGTTTCTCGTTCCATTGGCATTATGTGTATCGGCAAAAAATTAATTTACTCTGCAATCAGCATGGATCATTATCCGCGCGGCCATTAAAAAAATTTGTTTTTCCAACTACCACTTCCACTACTATGTATCTACATCTCGCGATTCGTACAGGATGGTAGTAATTGCGACTCTAATTAAAATGCCATCACCGACCACAGATATAGCCTTCCTCCTTTGGAGAAGTCTTGCTACACTTTATTTTTGCTCCGCGCCATCATATTTCCCATCGCACGTCCTCGTCGAGGCTTTTTTAATCGAAAGATCATATCAATCCACGATGGACGGTCGCGCGAGTCGCCGCGCTGTTAAATTTTTGGAAATATCCGACGATAACGTTGATTAATAATTTGTTTAGGGGCACGGGCTGAGCTCTCGGCGAATCGATCGAGAAACGCGCGTGGAATAAAACGACCGGATTATGCAAACGAGAGTTCGATTCTGTCACTTTTGATTTACGAGAATTTTTTACGATGCGCACGACCGGCCGAGGAAGGACGAGCAAGATGTAGAGAGAGAGAAGGAGAGAGAGAGAGAGAGAGAGAGAGACGCAGAAGACTTTGTAAGAAGAATAGACGTCGTGGAACACGAACGAAGAGCTACTGCGATCCCACTAACTATTTACATTCCTCGGATAAATGCACTATTAACTAACCTCGCGCTAATATCCACGTCTTCTGCATCATTATGTTAATTGTGGGATCAGCGACCCTCGAGGGCACCACGAAGGGGCACCGCATCGTCGCCACCGGTCCACGGGCGATTCGCGGCGGTTTGTCCATTTCGCGCTTATTTCGCGAGACGCTAAAGAAATGGTCAACTAATGAGATAATATAAAGGATTGGCAAAATTCCATATTTCTTGAATAAAATCCACGTTAGAAACAACCAGTATTTTCCTGAAAAAACCTGGCAAGGACTGATTTTTTTTCAATCTTATTAAAATTAATAATATAAAACCTTTTTATCGATATTCGTCAATTGAAAGTGTTTTTTAATTTAAGCTTTATTGAAAATAAAATCCATAATAGATTAGATATCGATAATAAATATATTAGCTTTTATTAGAAGATATTGAGAGATAAACACGAATTAAATTTATATTAAAAAATGTTTTAATTCTGTTACTATTATATTTCTATCAAATGAAATCAAATTGAATTAATAAATTAAATCAAATTGAAAATTAATATAAACTTTAGTAACATTTGTATCTCTAAAGTTTTTGTTTTAAAAAATTTACATTCATCTGAATTATAAAAGATTTATTAGTATATTAATTTTAATTTTTTAAATTACTGTGATTAA